AATTTATTGATAGGACTGACTGTTAAAATACGTTTCCAGATCATTAACACTCGACCTTGAACTGAGTAATCTGTCAGTTGATCAGTGATATTGTTATGGATAGATATTCGACTTCAACTTTGAAATGGTGACAGGAAATTATTTTCTTGGGATACATTTCTCTCTAGTCCCAGAAAAATATGTACATCTACTAATTTCATGAGATTTTCCTCTGGAATGTGAACTCCTACGTTTTTGAAATAGTCAGGTGTTTTGTTATATCTTTGTTTGTCGACTGAACTTTCTTCTATAGGCAGTTGTGAACTGGTTACTTTGAATAAATCATTAAGTCATACTTTATTCAGTGTATCGCTTTTCTGAATTGTTTTAGGATTTATCGATTATTCTATTCAGTTGTATTATCTATGAATTAAGAGCTTAATATCATGCGCAAAAATAAGATTTTTGTGTTCCCTAGATTTACTACTGTTTACGAAAAAGATATCAGAAACATTTATTTCCTTAACCCCTACTCTTCGTTTAAAATATGGAGTGCAAACTCAAAAGAGTTACCTGGAATATTTAGAAAAATTAAGAATCAATTTTGTCTAATAGTCGGTTGACAGGATTTGGTAGAGTCTATGCGTACAGCAATTTGTTCCAGTCATCCAGGCCAACTGACTGCTGTTCAGTGTTAGGTAATAGGTAAATTTCCAAAAACCAAATGTCTTAATATGAAAAACCATACACAAAAAGAATTGGAAAAGATATGGTTAAGAATGCATGAGTTTCTCGTCCTGAAGTAGTGGGAGGGCAATAGGTTCATAATCTTTTGTAAGTACTGCAAGTTTGACAAAATAATTAATCACTCTGTTGAATATTCAATCTTTCAAATATCATAGACTGTTAGACACAAATAAAATTAGGCGATGACATGTTCTTACTTCAATACCAGTTGCAAAACTTTAATTTGTAAGCCACCGATGGGATTCAAAATACTGGGAAACAAAGAACGCGTTCACAAGGAAAGAAGGTAAATTCAAGAAAGGCATGTAGTTTTGTAACACCACCAATCGCCCTTCTGTAGAGTATTAACGTATCCCCTAGAATTTAACCAGGCACAGCAAACTTGCTTACATAACTCAGACCACCGATCAGAAGTCGTCCTATGACTTCTGTCAGCAATACAAATTCAGTCTCCGTTCACTGATGATGTCTGTGGAAGTAGAGAAGAGCTTGATGTGTAGCAGGTATTCAGGGTAATTGGGATGGTGCAGATTATCAAAACAATTATTTTGTTCTCCTTACATATAGCTGTTTGCATGACCACTGAATCGGTTATATAGTGATTCTATACGTATAGGTGATGTGATGAAGACAACGATGGTAAAACTTGAGGAGTCTTATTAGATCCTCCACCCCTTATTGTCAAATTGTGCGAAACAGCCAATCGTTGTATACCGCATTCAGTTGTTAGCATGAATCTAGTTATGAAATTACAGAAAGCTGACGAATTTATTCTATCTTCGCTGAAACTTCGTTCCCTATCAACCCATAGTTAGTGAAGTGAGATTCGTAGCAAACAAACTGGTTAACATGTTCAACAAATTTGTTCTGTATTACAAGATACGACGCTTGTATACAACAACCTAAAAGCAGTAATTTACACTTTTGAGATAGTGCTACTAAAATTACTCACTGAAGTCTTTATGTTGTCAGAGTAGCAGCACAAATAACGCCCGTTAAGCCAACTGAAGCATTTTTAGAGAGGAGATCGACCCCAGAAGATTCTCATAAGTAAGTTTATGGGAGAGTTTAGTATATATATATATATATAATTTATATATATATATATATATGAGGGTAGGCGGCTTATGAAGACATCATTTGACTTAGACATCCAGGAAAACGCCCTTCCACAGGCTCTGGAAATATTTTATGTTCAGATAAAATGCACTAGATTAGACAATATTCTTACCGTGTCTCATCTTGAGACGGACACTGATAATAACCCACTTGGTTGAGGAATTCATATATTGTCTTCATGTCAAAGAATGTGGCACGTTTCAGGTACCAGTAAGGTTGTTTGTACTTCAAGATTTGGTCTGAGTCCTGCTTCTGAAAAGTGGGAAAGCGAGTATAATTGTGAGCGCCAGAAACTAAGAAAATGATATCTGGTGGTATTATTTCTAAACTTTTATCACAGAAGTATTTCCCTACCTTCTTGCAGACTGAAATGATGAAAAACAAAAAATAAAACTAACGAATCATGTCTTACTTACAGCATAGTTAATACTTCTGGGTCACTGTCTTTAATTATTTCTAGTAGTAGACCATCTGTATTTAGGAAGGAAGATGGAAGAAGATAAGGAATGGATCTTAATGGAAACATGGAGGCTGATAGAGGAGAGAAGGATGATGAAGTAGAAGGTGAACCAGTGCAAGGATGCACAACGACAAGAGGATCTGAGTACAATGCATAAAACACTACACTGGACAAAGAAGTGAAGAAGAGTGCACAGAAAGACAAAGGACACTTCTACGACACACTGACAAGTGAAGCAGAACAGGTTGCAGGTAGAAGAGACAGAGACCTGACAACATTGTATCAAATAACCAGGCTACTATCTGAGGGGGAGAGATCAACACAAACGAAACCAATAAAAGATGATGAAGGAGATTTAATTACGAAGGAAGAGAAACAAAGAAAACAATGGGCAGACCACTTCAAGAAGCTCTTCAGTCGACAACCACCACCACCACCTGCACTTCGTCCAGAAATACCACCTGCAGCCCAGCCGCTGAACTACAAGTTAACATAAATCATCCAACAAAAGTGGAAGTCCTGAACGCCATAATGCTACTGAAATGCAGGAAAGCAGCAAGACCAGATGGAATTCCGCCAGAAGCACTGAAAACAGATGCAGAGATAACAGTGGACATGCTCACACCACACACTATTGCAGAAGTTGTGGCAGGAAGGGAAGGTACCTGGTGATAAGAAGAAGAGACACTTCTTCAAACTCCCGAGGAAGGGAGACATCAGTATTTGCAAGAATTGGCGCGGAATCACTCTCCTGTCCACCCAGAGCAAGCAAAATATTAAGCCACATCATCCTGGAGAGACTGAAGTATTCACCAGGTTCAAAATACGACCGAAACAGGCTGGCTGGGTGGATTCAGGAAGCACAAATCATGTGCGGACCAAATTGCAACGCTTCACATCATCATAGAACAGAGCATAGAATAGCAGTCAACTCAACTCTACCTCAACTTCATCGACTTTGAGAAGGCCTATGACAGCGTCGACTGAGAGGTAATTTAGAAACTGCTTCAATACTACGGAATACCACAAACCTTTATCAACCTCATTCAACAACTATATGAAGACGACACATGCCAGCCAAGTAATTCACAATAGACAGCTCAGTGATGCTTTTGAAGTGAGGATAGGAGACAGGAGTAAAACAAGGTTGCCTACTATCATCCATGATATTCCTGATTGTGTTGTGGTCGACTGGATCATGCAGCAGACAACAGTGGGGAGCAAGAAGAGGGGAATACGCTGGCTGGACTGTGGAAAACAACCTAGAAGACTTGGATTTCGCCAAAGATGACTTATGTATGATGTCACACAAACCTGTAGATCAACAGGCGAATACTAACAAGTTGGCAGAAGAGGCGAGGCAGGGCAGCGAAGACGAGACTTCAAGTGAATATAGAGAAGACAAAGTTGATAAGGATAATCAACCACCACCACCACCACCAACAACAACAACAACAACACACTCCAATCACCATCAACGGGAGGCACTTAAAGGAAGTAACCTCCTTCACCTATCTAGACAGCACTGTTGCAACTACAGGCAGCACAGACACAGATGAGGATGTCAAAGTCTGAATCGAAAAGACAGCAATACAGGCGTTCACTAACCTGAAACCAGTGTGGAGATCTTCTGCACTCCACTCAGCATGTGGAACAAGATGTGGATTTTAAACACCAACATCAAATCAGTGCTTCTGTATGGTTCAGAGACTTGACGCGTTACGAAACGGATTTCCAACAAACTACAGATATTCATCAACAACTGCCTAGGCTGGCTCGCTACTGGAGATCAGATGGCCAGAATAAGAAGAATGAGCAACAGGGAACTCTGAGAACGAACAAACCAAGAACCTGTCACCCAACAGATATGCAGTGGAAGGAAGTGGAGATGGATTGGGCATACACTGAGAAGGCCGACTGTGGATATCACGTGTCAGGCCAGTTGCTTGAGTGGAACTTGATGGGAAGCGACTATTTGGGCTTCCCAGCTGATGGTGACATGGAGGAGGAAATGAGAGGTTGTGGGCTGTCGTGGAGCCAGGTTCAAAAGATTTCAGACAACAGAGTTCACTGGAGACGTGTTACTGAAGCCCTATGTTTCATTAGGAACCCAAGGGACAAATAATAATAATAATAATAATAATAATAATAATAATAAATGGTAGACCATCAGACTGTACCACTCCTACCTTCTTCAGATTATTTAAAGCCTTTCTAATCCTTAATGTTATGCAGGTGCATTTTGAATATTAAGATCGTTTGGTGACTAGATAGTCAAGAACCTATGCATTTACGTCCTAGATATTTAAACTTTCGACCAAAGTGCCTTTCTCTTCATTTCAGTCAGGGAGATTGAAGACTGAAGACTATAGCTGAAATTAAGCGGTAGTGAAACGTAGCTGGATGCAGAATAATTTCATTAGAGTTGCCAGGCCCAACCTTTACTGGTGCAGTTAAAAACTCATATGTTACCTGAATTCAAGTTTCCTATCAAACAACTTATTCCATCTGGGAGACCAATGGTTCGATTCTTAAATCAACAAATGCATTTTTACATCTATTTATATAATCATTAGTCTTTCAGATAAAATAATTGAGGTGGTTTCAACCGATAACTTTTAGCATTGTTAATACTATCCGTGAACACTTAATCATACTTATAAAACGTATGCACTTTCTATCATAATAATTTCAGAGACCCTTGGAACATACAATATCCACACAAAACGAGCCAGCTTTAAAGATGACGTCATTTTACAACAATTTATCCAGGACAAATGTGAACTAACTACGCCTCCTGTGGTTGAAGCTGTGAGTTATTTGGCATATTTCAAATATTTCATTTCCGTTATCAGTTTGATGAATTAAACATAATTCAGCTTATTGCTACAATATGGAAGTGTTGGAAAATATAGCGTTTTGAGCACTAGATTGTTTCTCATGTTTCAGAATTTTAAAATGTGTGGCTGCCTTAGGATTTGAAACTCGATGTGAATATGTTACTGTTGTTCTACAGGTGCTGAAATAGGTCCAGCTGACTGCTAATGTTATAGAGCCAGTTTATTATGTGTCTTTTGGATTGTATGATTTCGATTTTTTATAAAAATTTCATATGGCCAAATTAGGGTTTTGAAGTAAACGAAGAAATTCTGGAAATCTCTGTTTGTTGCTTGTTCGTGTACATTCCTTCACTTTAATATTAAATAACCTATTGGCTGATTCAGGAAAGAGTACATCCTGATTCACAGGAACATGTGGCTTTATTTTCTAATTAAGGAAATATAGATGTAACAGAAATCTTACATTTTCTTTCAGATTGTTATGTATACCCTGTTATCACCTTTTCATAATGTGCACTGGATTCAAAGCTACAAATGAGGATGTTGAATTCTTCTATACACTTATGAATAAGACCTGAAAAGCATTTAAGGCTGAAGTTCATATCTGCAGTTTTATGAGATGGAATATTTTGGCAACAAATCGGTTTCTTGAATAAATGGATGATTTGGTAAAATTGAATAATTGAAGGTGCCTAAGTGAGACTTCCATTCTGAGATATAGGACGTAGTCACTAGGTCAGTCTTTTCGAGATTATAATACGACTTAATAAACTTGTATTGGTTCAATAAACTGTCTGTAATTCACAAATTCTACAAAAGCGTAGGTGATATTCTCTGTTTCTTAAGAAAGTTAACAGGTGGAGCAGTAACTAAACTCAAATCCTGCTAATTGAATTTTGAATGCCTGAACCGGTGAACCTCAGTCAGGGATGCGGAAAATAAAGTGATCTGAAGTTAACCAGACAGTATGTGATAGAGATGGCTAACTGGTAATTAGATACTCTACCTTTAGCTTCCAACACTATGACTTTTTAATTCTGGTTTATAAAACAGACATCTTAGATTACAGATTAGGCATAGCCTATCTCTTTCATCTAGTTCGGAAAGTAGAATCTTTCACCGGATCTTGAGATATGGGTTAGCAGTTATCAAAAATTATCAATAAGAATTAACCAATAACAAGTGCTAAGATGTAAGTTAGGAAGATCGAATACACTCATTCAGAGACTGTTTCCTTTCAGTAAAACTCTTGCTTCTTACCTTTTCACTTCAAAGATGTTAAGTTAAAACTAATTGATTCGAAGGAAGATATGCAGAAATACGTGAATCCTAAGTAACTCTAATCTATGACTAAAGTCACATTCTATTTTTGTAGATGTTCATTATCTCTTAATCTGAAGATCCTTATTCAATGAAAAGTCATATTCCCTTTCGTACTTATTCAAACCATACTTTGCTTGTTTGTTTTCCACTGCCTATCTACTTTTCACCGTAGCATATCTCGTTAATTTCACTTGAGAAATCTAGAGAATCTTATTTTACTTTCTGATAGATACATAGGTAGATATCTTATGAATGAACTTTAAGCTAAACAAGAAGGTAACATTATGTTTATAAGCTAAACGAGATGAATCAGCTGTAATCGTATTTACTTCTGTTATTCTCTTGAGAGTATAAATGTATATATCACTGCACAATATAGAAGAAAAGTACATGTAACATTTATCTACCTACGAAAAGCATTTCATGCCTTTTTGAGCATATACTGAACAATAGAGAAGGATCTAATTATCTAGTATAACAACAATAACAGTAATAATGAATGAAACTAACAAGCATCCCGATGAAATTCATCAATTCGAAGCATAAATAATTAAGAAACAAAGCTGAAAGGAGGTCATATTTCAGCTAGAATTATTGTTGAATTAGTCACAACTCGGTTGATCATCTCATTGTTTCGTATACACACCATTCAGTTCAACGATGACAAGAATAATAATAAGTCTTATTAAGTTATATAGGAAATGTTTTTTATGGTCAGTATAATTTCATCAGGGTTTCTTGCTGATACTTGTCAAAAACCTGGCTTGTAATTATTTATTTGCAGACGTCCAGCGATCATATATTTCTAATTTCTGTCTCTATCTCAAGGTTATTAGATGATTAATGTAAACCTATGGAAAGAAGTGGTATCAAGTTATGTCTGTTCCTCCTCAAAACATAAATTATTGCGGGGTCCGATCATAGTGATGCTTTTGTTGGACTCTTATTCATTTAATCAGAAAATAATTCCAACATATGGTGTCAACTCTGATAATTATTCTTTCTTTTTCATTGAAGAAAATAAGGCTTAATGTTCGTATTCATCATGGACTGACATTAATTGGAAGAACATTGGAAACTTGGGAGCACTGGACAGCTGCTTTGTCCTCGTATGGGACTACTTAGCAGTGCGCACTTATGGTTCAGCCATGATGTCTTCATACTGCTGCCTTGATACTGTTATACAGTGAAGTTCGAAATGCAGTAACTAGGGCTCAACAGCTATATTCCATTGGTAGTTGATATTGTGACCACTATTAGAGTCATCGTTACAACTAGTAAAGTGTTGTTCATTTTTCTACTGAACGGTGATGATTATTCCTTGTACAACAATCATTACTTGTCAAGATAAACTGCAATACTTCAGTTATATATTACCTTGCTAGTCTAGAGTGAGTGACTTTATTTTAGCTTACAGACTAATTTCACATATTTTCTTGTACTGTTAACAGTTATATTGTGGCAATATATCTGATTATGCAGTTGTCGGAGACTCAATAATGCATTTTCTGTTGTTTTTTCATTCACATTGATTTAAATGCATCTTTTCTCTTAGTGACGTAAGCTTACTGGTTATTGAATGAGATGTCTATCGACCTACTGAATGTTTACTTGTGTGTTGTTTTAAGCTCTTAGAGTAGTTGCGAATACACGTTTTATCTTTGTAGTGGTATTTGTAGTCAGTAATTAGGTAACTTTTTCTAGTGATTGAAATCTTTCATTCACTATCGTGTACTAGTATAATTACGTCTCAAATTGTATACGTCATTAAATGAAAATAAACGAATAAATATAATTGAGAAAGAACTAATAGAGCCTAATGAAACACCGAAATCAAATCAAAATGTTTTACTTGACTGAAGTTTGTTTCCACTTGTCTAAGCTTGTTTGTTAGGATTAATAGTACTTTTTTTTAGTTTCACTGTCTTTTCCATTTAATGAAGAAACAGGTGATAATCCTGTTTATTAGTAGTATAAATGTCTAACTTTTGATGAGACTGTCGGGCGGAGGGGAGTGATAATGAGAGCAATCTGGCTTAAATAAAAGAATCGGACATGAAATAAAAATTAAACGATTCACAGTTTTAGTGTTGAACGTGAAAGATACGTGAAAGCTACAGGTATTGGATGGTTAATGTGGCTTTTCTGATGAACAGATTAATCACCAATTTAACAGAAGAAATCTGAAGTTTGTCATCTTAGTTGAATGAACCAAAGGTTTTGCTAACTTTGGGACATGTGAGGATTAAACCCAGTCATCAAATGTTTCAGTCCATAATGATGGTCATAGTAGGTGTCTGCTAGGAATGAACTTACGCAGTGCATTCGTACAATGTGCAACAAACAATGATGGTCTCTGTTCCAAGTAGGTAACACCATATAAGTGAAAAACTTGGGCACTATGGTAGAAGGTAATTCCATATTAGATTTGTTTATTTGATATAAAGCGCACAGTGATACAGTATTATTTACTTGATTACATTTCGAGCATAAATTATTGCTCATAATCATATCAATGTAATCACACTTCTTTCGATATCTGATTTTATAGTTCTGTCACCTGATCTCTCTTTGTTTTTTGTTTTTTGATTGGTAGTAAAGTTTTCCACATCTCTGGTATAGGTGTTGCATCATTACTATTCCATATGTGTTGGGTGTGGATTCGATGAACAAAGATTCAGTAATTAATCTCTCTCTCCATCTAGCTACATAGGTCAAACTAGCCGGTCGGGGTCAGTTAGATTAACAGAATATAGGAATTTAGCTAAACATAGAACAGCAGACCGCAATAGGACCATAACCTAGAAAAACACTCGGCCATTGCATTACATTCATTAACACACAACCACACAATAGGGTGGGACAAAACCAATGTACTTAAGTCTAATATAGCTAGATGGAGGGAGAGATTAATTACTGAATCTTTGTTCATCGAATCCACACCCAACACATATGGAATAGTAATGATGCAACACCTATACCAGAGATGTGGAAAACTTTACTACCAATCAAAAAACAAAAAACAAAGAGAGATCAGGTGACAGAACTATAAAATCAGATATCGAAAGAAGTGTGATTACATTGATATGATTATGAGCAATAATTTATGCTCGAAATGTAATCAAGTAAATAATACTGTATCACTGTGCGCTTTATATCAAATAAACAAATCTAATATAGGTAACACCATGTTTAATTCACCTGACGCACGTTTTGCACTTTTTGGAAGAAAACATAAATCTGTATATGATATACGCCTGACGGATGTTATTGATTTTTAGAAGAAATTAGTTTTCAGTGGGTTGTCAATTTGCTTTCAGTCCAGTCTCGTTTCCAGTCGTACCAACTAGTAACCGTAATCTTTAATTGGTCTTGAACATCCATCAGATAGCATTTACATTGGTATTCTCAATGTTATCAGTTGTATTCAACAGGAAAAGTATTTCAATTTTTGAGAGAATCATAACATGTAGTCGATTTATTAGTTTGTATTTATAGTCCAACGAGTAGGTTGTAAATGTTTTATTGTCTAATATACAAGAAATCTGTTTCTTAGTGAAAGACAACTTCTTATTACTTGGTTTCAATAAGTTAGGTTTAGTTCAACTATGAGATATTTCCTAATTCCAAATCTATGAATGACTATGG